TCTGTGGAGCAGGGAGCCCGATGTGGGACTTGGTCTCAGGACTCTGGGATCATGATCTGAACTGAAGGCAGATGCTTAACTGAGCCATCCAGGTGCCCCAATAAGATGGTTCTAAAATTTATGTTAGACTAGAGGGCCAAGAATAGCCCTGTCATCTTTGAAGAAGGGCAGGAAGATAAGATTTGGCCTACCATGTATGAAGACTTACTATGAAGCTTACAGAACTTTAGAAAGTATAGGAGAACAAATGACTTGTTCAGTGGGATAAAATACGAAGCTCGGGCAGAGCTACATGTGTGAACTTAGTTGTATGAAAGAGATTGCATGTCAGATCACTGGGGAAGGAAGGAACTCTGCAGTAAATGGAGCAGGACAAAACTGGTTATCTGTTTGGAGAAAGAGGAAAGTAGAACCCTGCATGGCCATATTTAAAAACCAGTGCTACTACGGGTGCCTGGCTGGCTCACTAAACCATGCCATCACGGGGTTGTGAGCTCAAGGCCCACACTGAGTGGAGCCTACTTAAAAAAAATTCTTTTAATTAAAAAAAATAATAATAAATAAAAAATAACTTTAACACTCTTAGTTTAACGTATAAGTAGATAGCTAGTAGATCTTGGGGTAAGAAAGTGTTTCTTAAGGAAGAATCCCAAAAAATGTACTTATCATAAAATAGTGATAATTTGCCTAAGTTAAAAGAAACGACTTTTGTTTATTAGAAGACATCTAAAATAAGAAAAAGACAAGTTTTAAGCCAGGATAGGATCTTAAAACTGATAATTAGTATTGAGAGTATTTAAAGAATACATACAAAATACATACAAAGGAAAAATGGGAAAAGGACACAAACATTTGTTAGAAGAAGAAAACTATAGGGCCTACACATACATAAAAAGATGTTCATTATCATTGGAAATGGAAATCAAGAACATGCTAAAATACCATTTTACATTTATCTGATGGACAAAAGTTCAGAGTTCTAACAATACCAAGCATTGGAGAAGATGTAAATCTACAGGATCTCTTAAATACTGCTAGTGGTGATATAAATTGGTACGACGACTCTGGAAAACAGTCTGACATCATCTTGAAAAGTAGAGCGTTTGTAAGCTTTATGTCCCAGCAGCTCTGTTCCTAGATACCCAAGAGGAACTCTTTCCTGTGTACTAGGAGACACGTACATAGATATTTTACAACATTGTTCACATAGCACTTGATGTTCTAAACAAACCCCTCTATTCACTGTATAGTGAGCAACCTGAAGTACAGTGTCCTCTCCTTGTCTTTACGTCCTGCTGCTCCCCCAGTCACGCTAATCTTGAATGAGTTTCCCCTCTTTTCCTTACTCCGCTTTCTCTATTTTTCTAGACATAGGTCAAGCCTTATATCAAACCGACTTTGTAGGATTGGGTTACATATACCTAGAAGAGTTTCATGGAGTTTTCCCTCTAATTTAGCAGACCCTTTGAAGATAATGTCGTAGTTTCCCTCTGCCCCCTATACTCCTGATTTGGCCTTTGTGATAAATCTCTTCTTTGAGCTGCTACTGAATTCTGAGGAAGTTAAATCCACTCACAAAACTCATCAAAAAATTCTATTATGGTATTAGACCTAGTCCTTTTGGTTGTACAATAAATTAGAACCATGAGGAACTTCTACCTGATTGATGACAACTTAAACCTTTCTTCTGTCCTACTGTCAGTTCGCCAAAGGCAAATCCCACATAGCACATAGGAAATTTAATAATTTGCTAGTTTCTGGTTGTTTTAGTAGAAACAACAGAACTAGACTTATGACCTTGGTATTTGAAATTAATAACATTCATGATGTTGACAGAACAATAGATCATTATTTGAATACTGGAAATGAATCCGAGCACACGTTGGCAGATAAAATGCATGCTCTTTTGAAAATTCAGCCCATTACCAAAATAATTTCTATTTATCAGTTCTTTAAATAGACCACTCTGTATTAAGAAGGGTAAGTGCAGAAGTACTATGAGAATAATTACTGAGAAATTAAGCCAAAAATAAAATTATCTGCAGGCATCGCCGAATGGAGGCCGTGCGACTGCGGAAAGAGAACCAGATCTATAGTGCTGATGAGAAGAGAGCCCTGGCGTCCTTTAACCAAGAAGAGAGGCGAAAGAGAGAAAACAAGATTTTGGCCAGTTTTCGAGAGATGGTATACAGAAAAACTAAAGGGAAAGATGACAAATAGGCATTTTCTGATTGTTCAGCAGACATTTTTAACAAAAAAGTCTGGGTTCCATATATACATACAAAAAGATTACTATGATCTGAAAAAGCTTTATAGTGCTCCTGTGCCTTCTATTAAACTCTTTCAGTCCTTCAATAAAAAGCTGCTTATTGATATAATTTTAGCAAGTTCTTTGGATTATTTTTGGATTGACCATAATAACTTTCTGGTTTAAAAATCCAAATTACAAATAAAATCATACTGTACTTGGGGAGGTGGCATTGAGAGAAAGTGTCAGTAAGATCAGAAACTTAACTCTCAAATCATGGGACAGTGCTCCTATTAGCTCTATGTGATGCCCGTCCCCCACCCCCACTGAACTGGTGGGAAGTCATCATTCCTCTCTGTTGAATGTGTTACAAATGGACTTGATAGAAACATACAGGAGTCCACTTTTGTTAACAAGTTGAAGGCATTGCTGAAAAAAGCAAATCTGGAATTTGAAAATCGACTTGTATAATATATAGTCTGCCCTGGAAGTAATGTATTTTGGTTTTAGTCCCTACCTCTATCCCAAATCCAACAAACAAGCCAAAAAGACTAACCCACAGACTTACTGAGTTGAAAATGTGAATGTTAGTGTTTTAAGTTCTTAAAATTTTGAGTTCTTAAAAATGGTTCTTCAAATATAAAATATTGGGAGGTGTACAGTTGTGCCAGTATAAGTACATTATCCATCTAAGCTATGGATTTGAATACTGAAAATAAATGGGAGTCAACTATGGTTAGGAGTTTTAATAAGGAAAAATATACTGAAGCATTAGTTTTAATTTAGTTTTGTAAGGATGAAGTTAAAATGATATTAAATATATTTTAACTGCTTTATGTAATAAGCTTATTTCATTTTAAACATTGTTAAATGTTTCAGTTTACTTTTTACATCTGTCATTTGGTTTAACTTTTTATAGAACCCCTCACTTTATCACTTTTTGTATGGCTGCTATTGACTTTTAAGTTTTGGAGAAATGGGACTAGCAGTTCGTGATCTTTTTTCTTCCTATTATTTTGTTCAATTTGAGTTGTTAGGTGAAGGGAAAGGGGACAGTGGAAGCTTTGTTCCTGTTAAGGTTGTTTGAGCTGTGTTGTTATGTATCTAGAGTAAGTCTAAATTACCTAGGGGATGGGGAAGTTCTAACTCTGCGGTTATAAAACATCCCCTCTCTTTGTAATAGTTTAAGGTGTTTTTTTTCCCCTGAGTTTTAAAATAAGGCAGTCATATTTCAAAGCATAGATAAGAAGTTTTACTGTTTAACATGTGTTCTAGGAAAGTGTCTGCCTTTAACCCACAGCTGAGGAACTAAACCACTTGGCGTGTAGCAACATTTATTACCCCTGAATCTGAAGTGATTTCTGTTTATCATCGTTGCTGCCTAACCTGATAAATATCTTGTTTCCAAAAGGTAAAAGGAAGCTAGATTCCAAATTTATGAGTTATAATCCATCTACTTCCCTGCATAATAAAACCTAAATTTATAATCCTTATTTAAGAATTTTGTTCTCTAAGAACATTATTTTTTGTTATTGGCTCCTAGAGACTGAATGAGTTTGCACTCTTATTTTCAGTAGGCAAAGCTGTTTAAGTGCAACAACTCTGTGATAGAGGATTATTGTGGGTTTTTATTGGATTTTCCTGTGTCCTCCACAGAGTAGATATTCAGTAACTGAAAGAAAGCATATTAATGTATTTCAGAACTTTGTCATTTCTTTCATCAGGGTTTGTTCAGGAAAGATCTGCCAAAGAACAGCTTCAGTAGCATGTTCTTTGGCAAAGAGGAGGGTAGAATAAAAGGGCTGAAAGTATTTTATTTTGAGCTCATGAGAGTAACTGCTTCAGACTGCATTGAGTCATCTGAGCCATAAGTCCAATAGGGGACGTGTTGTATTTGAAATGTATGTTTTGTTCTTCAGGAAGACTTACCTAGTTTTCCACCTCCTTGCCTGTTGTTCTGATAAGATTTTCCCTTCTTTTATGTTTATTGCACAAATGTAAGAGTTAAAGAAGAAAAATTACCCACAGTCTTACCACAGTTGTCTTTAGTATTCTGTGTTCCCTTCCAGTGCTTGTCTGCATAAATATGTATTCTGACATGCCTGTAAGTAATCACCCACAGTGTAATCTTGTCTTTGGTGTTTTAAACCTTTACAGTCAGGCAAGACAGCCTCCCAGGGATGGTAGGAACAAGTGGTGATCTGGTGTGAGGACGGAAGGAAAGAGGACCAGAAATAAGTAAGGGTGGCAGTCAGCCCTTCCCTGTTTGATTGCCGCCTGTCAGGAAGCCGCCCCGCTGCCATCGCAGCTGTGATGCTGTGTGGTGCACAGCACACCCGGTGGCGGTGTGGGAGTGTACTGGCTAACCGTGAGGCTTACGTCACCCTCCGTGAAGGGGTCTGTGAGTGGGCAAATCTTTAGACTGGCTCTAGTACGAGCTGCAGAACTGTCACCATTTTTCTTTTTCCCAGTTATGCCCGTTAAAGAGGAGTGTCTACTAGAGAATTAGGCTCAGATGGGGGATTAAGCAGCCAAGAAACACTCTCAGTTTTTACCCTGACAGCTGAATTTTAGCAAATCTCTAAACTTGGCTTCTGTACCTGTAAGACTCAAGTGATGTAGACAGTGATGGGAAAGACCACTTAGAGATGGAAAACAGCTTGCTGGTTACTCTGCTAATGTGATGGAAGTTGCCAAATGGAAAGTGAATGAATGAATGCAAAACATGCAGCCGGATTGTTTGCCACAAGTTTATTATTCAATAAATGTTCTGTGGTTTGATGTGCAGTATCGTATTTTTAATACATTCTGATTAGAAGTCTAATCCTAAAACCTTCCGTAAGAATTAGACACAATTGAATTAGAAGGGAATTGACTCCATTAAAATATTTTTGGCCTCAATCATGTCCCTCAGCCATTTTTCTCGAAAGCGAGTCATTCCTGGTCTGCAGAGGAAGGAAAACAAACATACCACAACTTTTTAACATAAAACATTGAGCCAGGGATTCCCTGCTTATTCTGTTACATTCCTAGTGAGCAAGAAGTCATTTGGGGTGGGGAGCAAAGGTTGTCTCTATTCCATAGGCCCAATCAGTAAAAGGATTAGTGCATTTCTATGTAAACATTCTTTAAAAGAGCTGCTGTACAAATCAAAGATTATTATATAGGACTTAATTCCCTGTAACTGAATTTCTCATAGAAACAATAGACATGATCCACTTTGCCCCCACCCTCCTTTAGCGGTTAATCCTCAAGTTTCTAATGACTGAAAAACGGGACATTAAAAAAAATTTTCTAGAACAATGGCAGAACCCCTCGAGCCCATCCTGATGGGACGGGTGGGCCAAAGAAGAACAGTGACCACCCTTTAAAAAATAAGTCTCCCCGGGGCACCTGGCTGGCTCAGTCAGTAGAGCATACGACTCTTGATCTTGGGGCCATGAGTTCTAGCCCCACGTTGGGAGTAGAGATTACCAAAAGGAAAAAAAAAAAAAGTCTCCAAATGTTCATTACCTGTGAACTAACGAAAGGCCCTCAAAGATATAAGAGATCTCAATGGGCATATCCTAAGAGAGAAAAGGATAACCGTTAGCCTATACCAGTCATACCAACTCATAATTCCTTCCATCCCTACACTCGTCCTTACGTATACTCTCAAGTTGCTAGAATTCATCCTCCTTACTGGGATGTCTGTAGGTGGTAGTTCTTTGTCACTTCAAATCTCTGTTCCCCAAAAGATCCTTTTGGCAACAAATACTTGAAGGGTCACTGCAGAATTGGAAACAAGTCAGGAAAGGCTTGTGCTCCTCGCAAGTACTCATTTACCTTCTCGATATGTTCCACTCTGCTCAGTTGACAGTATTTACCTCTCGGGAGTAGCATCAGAATGAAATAATACAGATAAGCAAGGTTTGAAAACATTTTTAGAGCAGCAGTGGGGGCTATAATACTGTCTCTGTGGGCCCCTCCCATACTCCCTTCCAAAATTCTACTTGGAATTTCGAGCCAGAGCCCTTCTCCTAAGCCCTGAGTATACAGGCTCTGGTCACGGTCTTGCTTTCCTCCAGCAGCCTTACTTCCCGGTCTCCAACCTTGCCAGTGAGCAAGACAGCTGATGGCAGGATAGGTGACCGGGAGCGGCGAGAGCTCATGGAGGCAGACAGAGTCCCAGATAACTTCTGTGAAAGGAGGGACGGCAAGGCAGGGAGTAACGTGTTCACGTCGGCTGGATTCCAGGCATCATGCTTGGAACCAGACCCACTTCTCTGCTGACCCTAACCCTGGATTCGTGGATATTCTTTGGACTCCTTTCACACCAGCTATCAGCCTGTCTCATATTCATCGTCTCCCTGGCAGCTACACGCAATTCCTTCAAGTATTCATCGAGTGCCTGTTACTTGCCAGGCCTCGTTTTACAGCAAAACGAAAAACAAAAACTCCTGCCTTTGCAGAGCTTAGGTTCTAGTAGGCGGAACAGACAATCCCGTAGACCATCAGAAGGTCAGAAAGTGTTAGGGAGAAAAAGTGAAAGCATGGAGGAAGGGATAGAAAGTGTGGTGTAGGACATGAGAGCCGGGTGTGCCCATCCCTAGGGAAGAAGGTCAGAGGGAACAGCAGGTGCAGAGGCCCTGAGGTGGGACTCTCTGGGTTATTAAAGAGCCGTGAGATCACAGCAGCTGGAGGAGAGGGAGGGAGGGAGGAAGGAGAGGGAGGAGCAATAACAAGGGACCAGGCCTCGCAAGGCCCGGTAGGCCCTCATTGCTCAGTGTACTCCAGGCCCACAGCAGCAGCAGCACCTGGGAGCTTCTTAGCAATGCAGAGTCTCGGGCCCCACCCCAGACCTGCCGAGTCAGAATCTTCCTTTCAACAAGATCAGCTAACGTGCATGCAGTTCAGAGTTAGAGAAACACATGGGAACATTTTAAACAAAGGAGTGACATAATTTCATTTTATCAGGCTCACTCTGGCAGGCGTTTGCTGTTTTGGAAAGCTACACAACGAGGGCGAGGGGGGAAGCAGGGAGACCAGTTAGGAGGCCATTGGAACAGTCTTGGTAAGAGATGATGGTGTCTCGTACCAAGGTGGTAGAAGTGGAGCGGTAAGAAGTTGCTGGATTCAGGACCTATTTTTGAAGATAGGGCCAATAGGATTTCCTAATGTGTTGGATATGAGGGACAGGAGTCAGGGATGATGCCAAGGATTTGGGCCACGAATGGAAATGAGAGGTCTGCGGGCAGATCAGGTTGGGAAGGGTAAATTGGAAGTTCAGTTTAAGTGAGATGTTTATTAAATATCCGAGTGGCAGAGGTCTGGGCTGGAGGTCAGATGTGGGAAGCATAAGCTAGAGGTGGCATTTAAAGCCAGGAGGCAGTAAGACCACCAAGGAGAGGAGTACGGAGGACAGGTTCAAGACCAGTAGAGACTGAGAAGGAATGGGCAGTGAGGCAGAAGGAAAACCCAGATAGTGTGTGGTTCTAGCAGCCAAATGGAACGTTTCATGAAGCTGGGAGTGAGCAGCTCTGGCTAGTGCTATAGATGGGCCAAGCAAGATGAGGACAGAAATAGGACTTGAGTTTTACAAAGAAGGGGTCATCAATGACCTTGACAAGAGATGTCTCCATTTTCATTGAGGTCTCATCTAAGCGAAAGGAGGAGAAAAGGAAGAGCTTACTGGAGGTTTGTTTTTGGTGATCTTGATGGTGAAGAAGGCAGAGGCAGTGACTAGCGGCATGGGTCTCTTAGCGGTTGGGATGCTCCAGCGTACACAGTAGATGTAGTGGTAGCTGTGAATCAGGTCTTCCCTCTCTATAAACTGTGTGTAGTGCACCCAGCGGTCCTGATACTCCCACGTCTGTTTCATATAAAAGAGAAAGAGCACATGGAGAAAAGCAAACTTCCCATTCGCGTCCTCTAGGTAAAGGCAACACACAACAGGAGGGGTTACAGCCTGGCTTCGGGCATCCGTTTCTACCGTTTTGGATTGGGATTCAAACTAGAGTCAACTCCCAATTATCTCCATAAGTGGAGGAGAGCAAAGGCGGAGCCTGCATGAGTGACGAATGCAATGTCCCTGGAGATCGGGCTTTGGAACACAGAGGCCACGCTCAGATGCGTAGGGGCGCATGCACGCCCCACGCACGCCACACACACGTACACATGTGACCTCCCTCCAAGCCCTTAACTCAGGAGACAAGCGTGGTTAACTGGAGAGTAATGAGAATGTGATCAGAACCTGTGTTCTGCTCACTCCTTGGGAGCCCTAAAGGTGTGACTGGAAAGTAATGGGGCCGATTTCACAAGCTGTTTCTGAAAATCCAACTCACTTCAGTGCAGCCATCGGTGGTACATAAAGTAAGTTTAGGAAAGGAATGAGTCAGGCCCAGGATCCTCCAGACCCCTCAGATCCCTATTTGACCCCCTTGGAGAAGTTTTTCTCTCAAAAGCACAAATCTGACTAGCACTTAGGGCCCGGAGAAGTCACAGTGCAGCTCCAGCGCCCTAAGTTCAATTCGACTGAAGCCCCTTGGGTTGGGGGCACAGGAAGCTTCCACAGCCAAAAAAAAAAAACCCACCAAAAAACCCTGAATTGAGTTGAAGGGCCACAGAAGGAAGGAAGTGGGACGGTCTAACAGTTTCAGTGATGTGCGGAGGGCCAGTCAGAGGGAGATGGCTAAAAGATTTCAGGCCCTCTAAAAAAAAAAAAAAATAGGTTGGCGTTCTCCCTCAGCTTACTTTCTTTCAAACTTAAGTTGATTGTTTCAGTCACCCAGACAGGAGCCCCAGACTATAGATTCCTGGAGATCAGGATTGTGTTTTACACAGATTGTCATGCCTGTTAGTGAAGGAGCCCGCTAGTTAACCCTTTGCAGCCCACTGGAGCATGACTTTCTTTCCAACCTTCCTATGTGAATATATTTCTTCAGCCCTAATGTTTAATCTGTTACACCATCAAAGACCTTGTACCATCGGAAGGGTCCCCGTTTTTATCACTGTTCAGGCAGCTGATTCTCGCGTAGCTCCAGTGAGTGTGTTTTAATCTTGTATTTTGTCATTTTTACATAACATTGCTTCATATACTCGCTTCCAGGAAACAATTTCTCATTGTGCTACTCTCCCATGGATGGCTTAGCCAATTACATATTATTGGACACTCAAAATCAACAGGCACCTGGAAGTACATGCCCAAAACTCTTATCAATGGTAAGTGACCCTCAAGGGAGTAGAACTGGGTATTGTGGGGGTCAAAGGGGAGCTTTCATTTTCTACTTTGTGTCATTTTGCTCAATGGGGATTTTTTGGGTTTTTTTATAATGTCTTATTTTATTATAAAAATAATTTTAACTTGGTTGTAGGCATTGGGGATTTTCCAACTTTTCTCATATAAAGAACTTATTTGTATATTCCTGTTGCCAGATTGTGTTCCTTGAGAGAATAAACTAATTGTGCCCATTGGCAATACATAATTGTACCTATTCCCTCCCCAAAACACACGAGCCTTTGGACACCAGGTTTCATCATTCTTATTCACATTGTAATACCTCAGAATCTTGTGAATTTACATTTTTCACTGATAGTAAAACTCTGCATTATTTTTGTCATCAGAAACTTTTCAGGGGCACCTGCGTGGCTCAGTAAGTTAAGTGTCTGCCTTCAGCTCCGGTCATGATTCCAGGGTCCCAGAATAGAGCCCTGAGTCCCACATCGGGCCCCCTGCTCAGGGGGGGAGTCTGCTTCTCCCTCTGCCCCTCCCTCCATTCATGCTCGCTCACTTTCTTGCACGCTCAAATAAATAAAATCTTTGAAGAAAGAAAGAAAGAACTTTTCCTACTATGGTGGCCAAAGTATATCAGACCTGTGATCAAAACTTTATTTTGCTGCTTGATCAGAAAGACTTAGGACCAGCGCACCTAGGTGGCTCAGTCGGTTAAGGGTCTGACTGAGTTTTGGCTCAGGCCATGATCCCCAGGGTCATGGGATCAAGCCCCATAATGGGCTCCATGCTCAGGGCAGAGTCTGCTTGAGATTCTCTACCTCTCCCTCTCCTCCTGCCCCTCCCCTTGCTCGTGCACACTTTCTCTTTCGGAAATAAACAAAGAAATACAGTCTTTAAGACTTTGGGCAAATTTTCCAACCTCTCTGAACCTCAGGGTTTCTAATTTGTAAAATGGGTACACTGATGTACCTACACGCAGGTCCGTTGTGGGGATTAGATGAGATCATGCATGCGAAGTACTTAGCAGTACTCGACACACAGTGATGCTCAGGAAATGGTAACTACTCATTTGCCATCGCCTGGTGTACGGTGAATTCTGGGAAATCTGCAATAAGCTTGAGAAAGCTCTCCATCAGCAATGTCTGACCCCCGGAGGACAGACTTCGCTTCCAGGGCTCGCTGCGTTAGCAGGTCTGGGAACAAGGGGATTTTCTGTCAGTAGCTCTATAGAGCTTTTAACTTTTCAGTTAACTTTCTACTTTCTAATCATCTTGTCCTCATGATGGTCCTACGCGGTAGGTAAGCTCTTCATCTGTGAACAAATAATGGTATGGAAAGAACAAATCTGTTCACGTATTCAACACATATTTTAGAGCATCTGTGTGTATGTGGCCTTTTAGGAGCTGGGGACAGAGAATTGGATAAAAGTTTCTGCCCTTATGGTCTGTATAATCTGTAGGTGGAAGAAAGGCAAAGGGTAAGTAAGTAAAATCTCCTATCTTAGGTAGAGCCGAATGCCAAGGGAAAAAATAAATCAGGGCAGGAGAACGGGTTGCAATTTTAGATGAGGTGACCAGGAAAGGCCTCAGTGAGCAGGTGGAATCTTTTTTCAGTTGAGCTATAGTTGACATACAGTGTTCTATTAGTTTCAGGTGTACAACGTAGTGATTTAATATTAATGTACGTTATGAAATGATCACGTTAGGTCTGTCACCATACAAAATTATGACACTTTAATGACTACTTTCTCTGCTGTGCTTTTCATCCCCATGACTATTTTTTTTAAGGATTCTATTTATGTATTTGACAGAGAGAGAGCACAAGTAGGGGAACAGCAGGGATAGGGAGACAGAGAAGCAGGCTCCTTGTCGAGCAGGGAGCCTGACGCGGGGCTCCATCCCAGGACCCTGGGATCATGACCCGAGCCGAGGGCAGACACTTAACTAACTGAGCCACCCAGGTGCCCCATCGCCATGACTATTTTATTTTATTTATTTTTAAAGGTTTGAAGTAATCTCTGTGCCCAGTGTGGGCCTTGAACTCGCAACCCTGAGATCAAGAGTCACATTGCTCCACCAACTGAGCCAAGAGCACCCTGTGACTAGTTCCTTTTATACCTGGAACCTCGTACTTCTTAATCCCCTTCACTTGTTCTACCCAAATCATACCCCTCTCTCCCCTCTGGTAACACCAGTTTGTTCTCTGTATTTGAGTCTGTTTCTGTTTCATTTTGTTGGTTCATTTGTTTGGTTTTTTTAGATTCCACTTGTAAGTGAAATCATGTATTATTTGTCTTTCACTTACTCCTTAGTATAATACCCTCTAGGTCCATCCATGGGCAAGACTTCATTCTTTTTCATGGCTGAATACTATTCTATTTTATATATATCACATCTTTGTTACCCATTCATCTACTGATGGACACTCAAGTTGCTTCCACATCTTGGCTTAGAGCAAATAATGCTGCAATGAACATGGAGTGCGTATATCTTTTCAAGTTCGTGTTTTTGTTTTTGGGAAAATACACAGTAGTGGAATTGCAGGATCATATAATATTTCTATATAAAATTTTCTGAGGAACCCCCATATCGTTTTCCATCGGGCTGCACAAATTTACATTCCCACCAACAGTGCACGAGGCTTCCCTTTTTTCCATGTCCTCACCAACACTTGTGATTTCTTGTCTTTTTGACATTAGCCATTCTGACTGGTGTGAGGTGATGTTGTGCTTGTGATTTGCATTTCCCTGATGATAAATGACATTGAGGATCTTTTCATGTGTTTCTTGTCCATCTGTATGTCTTCAGAAAAAGTTTCTATTCAGGCCCTCTGCCCATTTTTTATTTTTTATTTATTTTTTTAAAAGACTTTTTATTTATTTGACAAACAGAGATCACAAGTAGAAAGAGAGGCAGGTGGGGAGAGAGGAGGAAGTGGGCTCCCCACTGAGCAGAGAGCCTGATGTGGGGCTCGATCCCAGGACCATGAGATCATGACCTGAGCTGAAGGCAGAGGCTTTAACCCACTGAGCCACCCGGGTGCCCCTGTGCCCATTTTTTAAATGGATTTTTTTCCTTTTTTGGTGTTGAGTTGTAGGAGTTCTTTATGTATTTTGGATATTAACCCTTTATCAAACATATCATTTGTAAAATATCTTCTCACATTTAGTAGGTTGCCTTTTCTTTTATTGGTGGTTTCCTTTGCTGTGCAAAGGTTTTTTTGTTTGATGTAGTTGCAGTTGTTTATTTTTGTTTTTGTTTTCCTTGCCTGAGGAGACACACCGAGGAACATATTGCTAAGGCTGATTTCCAAGTGTTATTTCCTGTGCTTTCTTTTAGGATTTTTATGGTTTCAGGTCTTACATTTAGGTCTTTAAACTATTTTGAGCTTATTTTTGTATATGGTGTTAGAAAATGGTCTGGTTTTTGTTTTTTGTTTTTGTTTTGTTTTGTTTTCAGCATAACAGTATTCCTTGTTTTTGCACCACACCCAGTGCTCCATGCAATCCGTGCCCTCTCCAATACCCACCACCTGGTTCGTTTTGTTTAGATTTTATTTGAGAGAGCGAGCATATGAGCAGGGGGAGGGGCAGCAGGAGAGAATCTCAAGCAGACTGTGCTTCAAATGCAGAGCCTGAT